CGCCGTCTGCTATGTCACCACGATATCCGATTGTCTATTTAGGGTTGAAAGTACTGTACTGCAATCCACTTTGTTTTACTCTATGGCTGCAAAATATGGTTATTAAAGGTAAAAGATATGGAAAGGCTTCTGGTGTTTGACTACCGTTGCCTTCTTAGCAACAGGCTATATTTTGTGGTTTCACCACCTGAGTAAGACAGAAGTCAGATGTAGGGTTTTAGGCAGCAGAGGTAAGAGGGTTGATGCTGTTGTGAACCTTCATCGACTGAGATATCTGAGTATGTTTTACGCATGTGTAGCCACCGTCTGTCTCATTGTACAATGTTGGCCCAAGCTAAGTCAGGCTGGAAAAAGACTCATGACGCCCAGACTAAAACACGGAATCAATGCCTAAAGTCCTTGACTGCTGGTATGAGCCATGTAGGACTGCTTAGACTAGCCGGTTGGGGTCCGCGGGATAATAGAAACCAGTGGTTGGAGATTGTGTGATATAATTAATCGCTTCATCTCATTCTTCCTTCCTCTCTTTTACTGCTTTCTACTTATACTTCTTTTAACCGCTTTTTCTTTCCTTCATCTTCCATTTTATTCCCTTGTTGCTTGATGTGCTGATATGATGTGTGGCAACTTGGACCATTAAGCAGTATTGCTTGACCGTATGTTGATCTTGACGATTGTTCATAGAAACCATAAATGATGATGGTGGAGAATTCAAGTGAGACGCCGCAAGTGACATCCCATTATAAGGCCTAGCTACAGTAGATAACAGAACGTTCTGTGTAGGTTTCCTTTGCATATCTTTCAATAGTTGACCAATGTTTAACCTGGGACTAAAGGAAAACCTAATAAACCTAACTCTTCATGTTGCACTTATCAATGTAACTATTCCTATGGAACTAGTTATACAGGATGTACCATTAGGCAGGTGTATCTCCGAATACGAAAGCATTTACCAGTTTGGTTTGGAAAGGGTAAAGTGAAAGTGGTAAACGTTCAGTCTTAAAGCACTAAAAAGACGCAGATCATCATATAAATGCGAATAAAGGTTTCAATGTCATTCATTGTATTCCAGAAATAATACTGCGTACAGCTCACCAACGCCTCCTCAACATAGTTGAGGCCATTGCAATAAGACTGATCAAAAATAAACTGTGTATTCAGAAAAATCTTGTTTAAACATCATTCCTACTTTGGCCTTCAGTAAACTAAAGGCCACTCTTGACTTCCTTGTTTGTTATCTTTTCGTTCACTATTACATTATTCATCTATAGAAAGGACAACTCGACTCCCTCATAACCCAACAAAACCTCACTTCATTTTGACAATACATTTGCCCCTAATTTGGCTTGATTTTACGCTGTATACGATGGGAATTTATTGAAAAGAATATTCTTCATTCAGACTATTGCTTTTTATCTTTAGAAAACAAAAATTTCAATGGGAACACTGACTATGAGAACACAAACAAATTTTCACTCGGCCTTTTCCATATACCAATCAGTAGAGAGTTGAAACACCATGTTGGAAAATTCATTATGTCAACCAATTAGGAAGTTCATAAACGGTGTACAGCTCTTGTGTGCATATATATATGTTTGCAATGACCTTGAGAACAAGGTCGTCGAACAATACACTATTATGAAAAGTCACGTGTCAAGAGCAGTAAGAATGAATGACAGACACTTTAGGGGATTTTGGCACAAAGAAATAGAAACTAGAAATTTGACAAACTTATCAGTTGGCACAGATAAACAGTGAAAGTACAAGCCAATGCTAAGTGGGTTTGTTGATGTCCTACAATTAGTACATCACATTACTTTGGAGTAACTCAGCTAATTTTTTGATGGTTTGGAGTGTTTTTAGGCTTCACAGATTCCATTAGATTTTCTTAAGGAATTCACGTGGATCACCAGTAATAATACTGTTCAACTAGTCATTAAGTTTCGATAGGCATGTTCTCCAAACTAATATTCTCTAACGTTAAGTTTCCAATGTTTTCATAGTCAGAGAAATATACCGATTTAATCATAGACAGGAGAGACGAAGAAGAACTTTTCTTCTCGACAAAGTCGTTTACTAAGCTGCACATTCATGAATATACTTTACAATGGGCAGCAAATTCTATAATCATTTCCAGGCAGGGGTTAAAATATTTAGCGAAAGGGATTTACCTAATGCAAGTGAGGGTTTAGGCTGGGAAAATGAGCAAGGCATTAGGAGAAAATTATAAGTATGACCAACTAATATAGGGTTTATCTATGACAGTCAAGTCTGTGTGATGGCCATGATAGACACAAAGGTTGAATGTATCTTTCTTGGAGACATAGCACTGGTGTAAACTTCTGGATGGCTGATGCTTCAGCTATACCCAAATGCCTTGATCTTCCTCCATTTGACTGACTTGATGGAATCCTGTGGAGGATTTTGAATGAGTTCTCAAAAGGTGATGAGTAGTCTCAATGTTTACAAGATGTTCTGTTATTGGGCTGAAGATTCACTTCCATTCCCCATTTGTTAATCAGACTGGTTAGTGTTCTATCCACAGTAACATTTAATTCACAAATGTATAGCTTAGTAAATTACCTAGTAGTCATAATCTTGCATGCGATTCCGAAATTCCTCCAACTTCTACCTATCAAGTTACAAATATTACTCAACATATCCAGTGGTCTAAAAAAGTACGCACATACACACACACACACAACTGAAGTCACCTTTTTATAAAGCAAAACTTTAAAAATTGATCATATCATGGGGCTTTTTGAATTAAGACGTAGACATCAGTTGGACACATGTAACAGGTATGAAACAAAAGAGAAAGTAGAACAAATAATTATATTAGATAGTGTTTTAACAGTAAATAACTCAAAAATTTGTAAAGCAGTAAAAATGAGATCATAATTTTGCTTAGACTTAATTAAAACAATGCACTACAGAGATTATTATTAGTGAATACAAAGGAAGAGGTCATGAATGCATATTTGTCTGGTATGCTGAATGCGATAAGAAGTTATACACGTTTTTGAATAAATATTTCTGTATAGTGGAGTGAAGTTTCTAAATTCAGGTATACAATGACTAAAAGAGTCAAACATATTGATAAACAAGTGATACCACCAAATGACGAGAACAGATTCTTCGGGAAAAGTACTGACCACTGGTATAGTGAACTGCAGACAGCTTCATCATTGGCTCATTTCAGTCACATAATAAGTTAAAAATTGAAGTGGTTGTGAAAGAAACAGTTCATAAGATGTTCTGTTATTGGGCTGAAGAATCACTTCCATTCTCCATTTGTTAATCAGACTGGTTAGTGTTCTATCCACAGTAACATCTTATTCACAAATGTACAGCTTAGTAAATTACTTAGTAGTCATAATCTTGCATGCGATTCCGAAATTCCTCCAACTTCTACCTATCAAGTTACAAATATTACTTAACATCTCCAGTGGAACAATGAAAAGGCTGTCTGTCATGTTTTTATTATACTAGGCAATGGTTCTAGCTGAAAAACATTGAGCTCATTGAAAAGAAACGTAGATGATCAAATTTGTTGAAGATATTTTGATCATTATAAATCTCTCTGGTTTCATCTATAGATCTGATAACCTGTGATTACAAAAGGTACCTTTCAACCCTTTGTCTACATTTAAGGGACTTCACCAAATTCATTGTTTTGGCTTCAGGGAGTATGGGCGCAGAGATTACACGAATATAAGCGTACAAATTAAGCGTTATTCTAGTTTACGTACTTAACATTCATCACACAAAAACAGGATACTAATTACCAACTCATCTTTCATAGTAATATCAAAGTAACTTCTAGGACGGAACAACATGAACTTGATTACTCTCCAGTAATCGATCGGTACATGTAATCCAGTCTTACTAGCGGCTTATCGCAGTCCGAATAGCTCAGTGGTAGCGCTACTTACTACAATACTGGATGGCGTGTCTTCAATTCTCAGAAGGGTGTTGGTTCTGTAAAGGTTGTACATACGCTCTGTTGGGGAGTACCAACAAGCACGAAACCCAAATTGAGCAGAGCTTCTGACCAATGCCTTCCAATCAACCACCACCATGATAATGAGCCTTCTAGCTTGGTGGTCATATTACAAAATGATCAATGAAATTCGGTCACCACTCAGAATTGATCAGCAGTGACCAAATAGTACAGGTATGTGTATAACAGGCCATCAGCCAAGATTGGTCAAGCAATTCAACCCAGTATAGCAAAGGGAAATAAAAAGTGTGAATAAACAACAACTAGTACCCTTTTCATAAGACACGGTTCTCTTGCCCCAAAAGCCTACTGCTTAGCGCTTTAGCGTTTGAAGCAATCCACTTCAGGTTCCAAGTTACAGTGGGAACAACATTTCACACTCGAATGCAGGTACATTTAACTGATGTCTTAAATTGGAAGAAGTTTACCTCGTACACTCCACTGCTAGCCACTGAGTACTTGTCGTTCACAATAATGATGTTTAAAACATTAAATGATTCAAAAATGTTTTTGGTTATCAAGTAATAAGAGCAATTAAGTGTATGAAGACTATACAACACCAGTCAGATATTTCGTCTTTATTAGAAATTCCTCACTGGGTATTTCTTTAGAAAATGAAATACGATTAAATCGGTAACATTTATATCAAGTGGTAAGCAAATTATTTTTCATCCACACTTATTCACAAAGCATTTTACACCATATTTTTTTTTCCAATTTTGCTTATTGTATGACAACACTTCATAATACAAATTGCTTATAAACAGCTAAATTTATACACTTTTATGTATTTCATTTCTTTTAGATTAATATATATTTATAATAATTAGAAAAAGCATACGAGTATGCATATCATGATACGCATACAAGCACACACACACACACACAAGCAGTGACTGGCTGGAACCAGTACCCAATGTTGAGTATGAAATATACCTCACAGAAATAGTTTTGAGTAATCCTATACACCTACATCATATATATGTGCAGTATGCATGTATATATATATATATATATATATCATTCATAATTAAACACCGTTTCAGCTCATTTATTATTACCACAAGTGTTTTTTCAATACACAGTTAACTCTTTTGAAGGATCCCTTTTCATCATTAATTCTTCTGAATTCAGGAGAACAATTTACAGCATAATAATATTAATAATAATAATAATACTATTTCGATCGATTTATTAGTCAATATGACGTTATCTACTCCTGCTAAAGATTTTTCTTGGCAAGATACAAATTTACCTTTATTTGGGAGTGATGAAGACAAAAAGGTTAAGAGTAAGTAATTAAATTTTAAGAAATTTATCATATAACTTTATAATACATTCATAATTTCCATTATGACATCAAAAACATGATATTCATCGAAGAGGACACTTTTCAACGAAATACCTCTCAATCTGTACATTCATATATACATATATGATATTTAAAGACTGTAATCTGTGAGAAAGATTTAACTTAATTGATGAGGGATTGAAATGACAGTAATGGAGGTTATAGTTATAATAATAATGCTAGTTGATGATATGAAGGTTGAATGATAACAACAAGGGTTACCTAAGATTTTTAAATAATTTACGGTGGTGTATATAGTTTAGAAAGAGAGTAAAAACCGTGTACAGGCAATAAACAGTCTTCAGGATTAAATGATATGATGAAGATACCCTACAAACAACAACAAGCACCAACCACCATCATTGGGAGAAATCTAAGCAAAGTTGTCTCTTTCACCTGCCTACCTACCGATCTACCTACTCATATACCTACCTAACTACAAACCCACTTACCTACATACCTACCTTGGCAGCATTATTTCAACTACACGCAGCACACGTACACATGAGGACATCAAACACATAATCGGAAACACAGCAAGAAATACCTTACTTCATCAATTTGAAATCAGTGTGGAGATCTACTGCATTGCACTCAGCATACAATGTGAACAACATTCACATTCTCAACACACACACACACACACGTACACTATTTTCAGTCAAGTGAGTCAGTGCTTCCATGTAATGGTTCAGAGACTTGGTGCGTCACGTAAAGCATTTCCAACAAACTGCACACATACATCATCAACACCTGCTGTCCATGCTTGCTCACTCGATACTCAAGATCAGATCAAATCAGATGGCGAGAATAATAAGAATAAGTAAGGAGGAAGTTTGGCTGGCTGCCTGGCAACGAATCAACCGACCAAGAATCCATCTCCCAAATATATATGCAGAAGAAAGTGGAGATGAGATAATATGGATTGGATTGTATTGGAGATAGACTGAGAAGTCTGTATGGAGACATCACATGTGAGGTCAAGTCATCGAGAGGAAGGTGAATGGGAATCGGTGAGTTTGGTGTTTGAGGGTGACATGGAGGAGATGGTGTTAGGAAGAGATGAATGTTAGTGGTGATTGATGGATCCAGGTGAATAAGACTGTAGAGAAGTGATTGAAATGGTGACGTGCTACAGAAGTCGTATATTCCACTAGGAACCTAAGGACAAGTAATAATAGTAAAGTATTTTTGAGATGAATGAGGATTTTTAACTTAGAAGTAGTATTCATCATGGACTGCTGAGGAGTCCCATACTAGGACGAAACAGCTGTCCAGTGCTCCCACATTTTCAATGATTCCGCAATTGATATCAGTTCATGATGAATACTATTTGTAAAAAATAATATAAGTAATATGAATGAGACAATTAGTTGATTGGAATAAATATAATATATTTTATTAAAAGTTGCATTTATTAGAAAGATTAAATGAAATGACATGAAAATACAATTAAATATAAAAAATAAACTGATAATGATGACACAGGAGTATAAACATTAATCTACCAAAAAGAGGAGTGAGTTTGAAACGTATAAAGAGACGAAACATACCAAGAACAATGAAGATAAGTTAAGCCTAAGGTAGTGATAAGGACTGTACATACTACTTTTACACAAAAAGGTCAGACTTCAGTTCTCATAGACAGTTAAGGCTTTTGTTGTTTTTAGAAGCTGTAGAAACCGAAGAATTATGAGATGTTTGAGTGAAATCACTAGACAACCTGGAATGGTTCAAATTGATTAAATGTTCATGAATAGAACTTCTAATGCAGCAATCTCTGACTACGACCTATGTAGTTTACTTCAGAAGAGCAGATAAACTGGTAGATACACATATATACGAATGTACAGCTTGAGAATGAATTCGTTGAAAAAAGTCCTTTTCACTGAACTTTATAATATGTGTATATGATTAGGCATCAGAGGTGTGTAAACAATTCTATACCAAATGGTTTTTATAGGCTAGGCTATTGTCGATGTAAGCGCAGAACACTTTGCGGCATTTACTCCTTTAACTTAGGGATTTAGTGATATCACTGAAGGTTACAGACACTTTTTAATGGTAAGCAACTATAAAGAGGATCATTTGATAATTGAATTCACCCATCGAATATCTGATATCTGAATTTATCTTTTGGTGAGATAATTACTCATTCTGAGATAATTACACTTCATCTGGTAGGAATATTTCGTTGATACACTTATCTATCTGTAGATTAAGTGCAACATGTCAACTTTTAGGCTACAGAATGAGTAGATTCTCTGATGCTATCTATGCTTAGTAGAAAGTTATACACTTTGATTCTATCACATAGATGTCTGTAAGCAGTCGAGTTGGCTTTTCCTATATATTTTTCTTCGGATTTACTATCATTCTGAACGATGTATTTCGTTTATTATACTAGCTTTTCGAAAAAACAAAATTGATATAAAAGTCATCTATTCATATTATTCTATGAATTTCTCACTTCATAAGTGGTCACAAAAAGAACAAATAACACGATTCATTTATCAACTGGATTTATCGCTTTGATTGAATGTTAGTAACCATGATTAAAGCTACTTTGACTTGAATTACAAATATCCAAAGAATCAACCATATTGAATTGTCGTTTTACATGTAATCGACAGTTCCCTTTATCTCATAGGTATAACAATATCTAAATACGTCGTATTTGTAAGAGACTGTATGATTATAATGATTGCCAATATGACCTTGAAAGTTTTCATCTCATTGGATAATGATATACTACCTATATCAGTAGTAAAATATATAGATAAATCATATTGCCAAGATTGATATCAAATGAACGCACCAGTTAAGCTTGTATTCCTTGTAAACAAAAGTCACCATAGTAGGATTAAATAACAGTTTTACGAATAAGTTTTACCTATTTTAAGAATTTTTCTGTTGAATAATGAGCTGTGTCAATAAATCCTAGATTATCTGAAACGTTTATTGAAAAAGAGAAAAACTTTACAAGTGTGTTAAAGTTGAGTACTTTCGACTGAAACACTCTTGGTGTGTTTACTTAAAGTTTGTCTAGTTGAATGCAAGTGACATGTTGTCTTAGTAAGAATGAAATAGTTATTTTTTAGAAGTAGTATTCATCATGGACTGACATTAGTTGAGGAAACATTGGAAATCTGGGAGCACTGGACACCTGTCTTGTCCTAGTATAGAACTCTTCAGCAGTACGCACACACGACCTGTCACCGGATCGAACTCAGGACCATCAGGTCTCACGGTGAACGCATTAACCATTCGGCCACTGGGTCGGTTTCCAATGGTTCACAATTTCCAACTTCTGTCAATTTATGATATAGCGCGACTATCACCCAGGGTCTTCAGTTAGCATCTGCTTCACTTCTGACTGGTCGACCCCACAAGTCACGACTTCTCATTAAAGCTTCCTGATATCCATCTGGAAGCAAGTCACTAATGAGCACTATAGAGTAATGCATTTTTGAGATGAATGGGGATTTTTAATTTAGAAGTAGCATTCATCATGGAGTGACATCAGTTGGGGAACAATTGAAAATCTGGGAGCGCTGGACAGCTGTTTCGTCCTAGTATGGGACTCCTTGGCATGTGTCAAATATGTAATGCTTACATAGTTGTACTTTGTTTTTTTTACACAAGGATAAGACTAAATGTGGAGACTATAAGAGCACATGATGAACCCACCTAGGTTGCACTCAGTATTATCCATATTCGGTTGCTTTAGGTCACTAATCACTTTCGGTAGGTAGTAAGTAATAGGATGGAAAAGTTACACATTGGTTAGATAGGAAAGACTACACAAATCTATGAAGTGTCTGATTGACAATTCAAGATGAAGGTAGACTTGCTTGTCAAAGTTTCTTGAGATAGTAAAAACTGACACCTGGCAAACATTTCTAACATAACATATACGTTTGCAGACTTACATGTAACTAAGCCTAGCTTCTATGTCACTGCTTGTAATTTCCTGCCGTCCAAGTCTGAATGGGGACAGGATCTCCAACCGGGAGGTAGGTACATCCACGTGACGAGTTCCAAGTAGGACGAAACTCGCTTACTGGATTCCACTGTTAGTCACTATCCATTATTATTATTATCAAATAAGTCTAGTGTTCAGGTTTTTCATCAGATAAATACGGTGACTCTCATTTTTCATCTTCAAGCATATACGAACTGTGGGTTATTCATTCAATGATGAGAACCAATAAATGTAATCCTCTCATCGCCCATTTCAAAAATGCCACCGAACAATAACCCACAATGCCGTTTGATAGAGAATTATTTATCTTACTCAGTATTTTGCAAATAAGTCATAATTAGTCTTCATCTTTGAAATGTTTAATCGCTGATTCTACTCATGTCCACCATGAGGTGTACACAGTTCTTCTCTCGAGTCGTATAGTAACCCGTCTGGGCTAAAGGTTTATGTGTAAAGAAAATTAACTGCTGAATGATCAGTGTTGGGTACTTTATACAGTGCAAAAGTACTACTTACTAGATGACATTTCTAAGGAGATTTATTGTTCAGATTCATATCTCAAGAATCTCCACATCTTTCATAACCTTTTTGAGGAGTTCTGTCTCCTTTCTTTCATTCATCTTGTAGATAACAGGACTGTCTAATTACCTGGAAGGTGTCGAGACATTCCCATTGCATGTCTTCAATGTTGCTTTGACAAACAAAGCTTCAGTTATCAACCTCTCTCCACCCTCTCTATGTTATCCTTTTGGGGCTTTCACTGGACCCCATCTTAGTTGTACAGTTGCTTGTGACTGAATGCATTGTAACAGCTGAGCCTTCTTCAAAATTTTTAAAAATCTTACTAGGGTCTGTCGTTCTAGATTTGACCAAGTGTTTTTGCTGCCTCATTGTTACTGACGTCGTTTGACCAGTTTAAGCTACGTAATTCACCTCATACACTGCATGGAATTTG